CCCTGCGCGGCCCCGCCCCTGCGCGGCCCCGCCCCCGGCCGCCACCGAGCTGCTCTGGTTTCGCGGCAGATGGCCGGGCCTCAGTCTGGCCTCGCGACACGCCGCCCGCCGGCCGTGCGGCGGCTCTCGGGCTCCTGCGCTCCGGTCCCAGGTCCCCAAAGATGGGAGATCTCACCAGGATGGCCGCGTTCCCGGACCCTTCAAGGCTCTGACTCTGGACCCGAGTGGGATCGGTGGCTCCTCTGCAGCCCGGGAGGGGTGGAATGCCGGGTCGCTTTGCTGCCCAGAGATGGTCTGGGGGAGGGGGTGGATCTGACTATGGATTACTAGAGGAGAGTGACCTCAACACGGGCTCTCTAGGGTCTACTGAAAAGCACAGCTGCTGTCATTGAGTCGACTACACTGAGCTCCTTGAGGGCAGGACAGGATCGAATTCTGATTCCTCCTTAAAACTTCAGCGCCTAGGTGCAAAGTGGTGGCTTAATAAATGGACTGAATGAAGAATGAATGGATATGGGCATGACTGGGACAGTAAATCTGAAACCAGAATTAGGTATGACCAGTTCCTAACAGATCTCCTCGCCCCTTAGCTTTTAATTCATTTAACAAATACTGAGTGCCTACTATATACAAGGCATCCTGCCTGATATATAGCAGACAAGGCTGCCCTCGGTCAGGACCTTCACTCGACTGGAAGGAAGCACATAGGCTTGTAAACAAATAACTTCAGAGTTACAAAAGCTACAAAGAAGATAAAATGGAATGATATGACAGGGGAAAGATGATTGTGGGTGGTCAGAGAAGGCCTCTTCCCTTTGAGCCAAGACCTAGAAATAGTAAGGAAGAAGCAGCTATGAGATCTGGAGGAACGGTATTCCAGGCAGAGGGCACAGCCAAGTACAAAGGCTCAAGGCAGGAATGAGCTTGCCACATTTGAGGAACAAGAAGACCATTATGACTAACGGGACAGGGACAGTGGTAGATCAGACTAGAAGGGTAGACAGGGGGCAGTTCACATAGGGCCTTTTATGCTACAGTAACAAGTATGAGTTCCTCCCACTCTTTCGTACACTGTTGCCAAATTATCATTAAAGTACCTCTTTCAGATAACTCAGCTGCTCAGAAACCTCTCCACATTTCCCAGTGCCTTCCAAGTATCCTTAGCATGATATTCAAGGCCCTTCATAATCTAATCTCTACCTACCTTTACATCCTTTTGTCTCATTATATCCTGGCCAAAGTTTTTACTCCAGCTAAATGAACCCACTTTCTAGCCCTTGCACAAACCTCATATATATATTTTCACTTCCTACCCTCCTCTTTACTTCCTTTAAATTTTAATCCAAGTAATATGTATGCATTGTCAAATAGTATTGAGAAAGCTCTTAACAAACACAGCAGTCCCCTGTCCCATTTCTCTTCCCTCCCTCAGAATACTCTTTTTTAGCTTGTACTTCAGAAAGTTCATGGAAAAGTAGAATTAAAAGATTACACAAATCTTTCCATGAACTTTTTGAAGTACCCTTGTATTTCATAATTTATGCTTTCTAGACGTTGCTTATTGATTTCCAATTTTGATTGATGATCTCTCTTCCACCTTTGCTTACCCTCTTAAAATAGTGAAATCACACACTTTTTGGTTAAGTCACTATAGTACTTAGTATTGACATTATTTTAACTATGAGTAAATATTCACTGCTAAGCCATGTGTTCCATGATTATGTTTCCTTTACAACTTTTTTTCTCCTGGCATTAATCATTGCCTTGCTTTTTTATATATTGTACCTATCACTAATTCCTCCCACATAATCTAATAGAGTCTCAATACACATTTTGTTTGCACAGTAAAATCTTTAGATAATCCATCATTTCCATTTTTCCTTTTCTGGTGGTTGCCTGTATGGGGATCTGCATCAGTTCCATTTTTCTCTGGAGCCTTCCACTCTTTTGCTTTGGTCTGCACTGAAGACTGTCTCAGCCTATGCAGAGCTGTCATCCTGGTATTTCTAGGCACCCTCAGAATTGCCTTTACCTTTCCTCCGTGTTGGATTCCCTGTTTCCTGGATATTTTACTCCTTTGTTTTAGTAAAGTACATCCTTTGGTAGCTTCCTTTGAAAGGAAGCATGAGAAATAATTTTTTTTTTGAGAACGTGCATACCTGAAAATTTATGATTCTGGGTTGAAAATAAATTTCCTTCAGAATTGTAAAAGCGTAACTCCATTGTCTTCTGGTTTCTGGTGTTGATAATGAGTGGTCAGTTTGATCTCATTTTTCTCAAACTTTTTTCACTTTTCTTTGTTCTTGTTGGCCGGCAGATACCAGGGATTGAAAGTACGCTTGTTTTTACTCTCTCTGGAAGCCTTTAGGAAGTTCTATTTATCCCTGGGGCTCTGAAATTTCATGGTGATACACTTATTTTTTTTTTTCCTTTTTGTCTTTTTTCGTGACCGGCAACGGATTGCAACCCTCAGTGTCGCACCCGTACTGGACCAGGACCGGGACCGGCAACGGGATCGCAACCCTCGGTGTTGCGCCCGCACCTCGCTCAGCCAGTGAGCGGCCGGTCTGTATGTGGGATCCGAA